AAAGCAATTGGATGATAATTAGAAAGAATCTTGGGATCCTTCCCAGGTTTAGAGAAAGGGAGGACAATAGCCTGGCACCAAGCATCAGAAAAACATTCTCCTGCCAGATGAGGTTAAAAACAACCAGAAAAATGGCAAAAGAGGCAGGAGACAGATGGCGCAGCATCTCATAGTGAGCATAATCAGGTCGGATCAATGTACTGCCAGATCGATGAAGAGCAAGTTTATAATTGCCCCTTTACACTGGTGGAACTTAGTTGTAGGGACTATTGGCCTGAAAGGAAAGAGGCAATCTCTCTGCCCGAGACTTGATTGCCAAGAAGGTGGAGGAAGAAACAGAAGTACTGGATGCACGAGAAAAGCACTCACCAAGAGTATCAGCGATGCTCTGTGCATCAACAACTTCCTGGCCATTGGAGAGCAAGATGGAAAAGTAATGGGAGGAATACTGCCCATTGACCTTCCGAATCTTGTCCCATATGACTTTGGAACTGTTGATAGAAGAGATTCTAGTTGTAAACTTAATCCAAGATTCGTTTTGGCTTTGACATCTGACCTGCCGAGCATGGGTACGGGCCCACTGGAAAGCAATGCAGTTCGAAAGAGTGGGATACCTGCAAAAGGTATCCCAGGCACGTTTTGAGCTTTTCAGACAGGACTCCATGGACGAGAATACTGTAGAAAACGTGTCAAGGTCTTAGAAATAGAGCGAGCAGCTGCCTGGACTATACAGTCAGTCGCTGCTGTGATGCAGTCATTGGTTTATGGCAGACAAATAATGGCAGGATCAAGTACCGAGATAATATTTGAAAGAGGGCCTGTTAACCTGATCCAACTTTCACTGTGGCACTTGGCTCATGTAGCATCGACCATGGCCAATTACCTCAAAATGATAAGAAAATTATCACTACCCCGTGGATCACTGTCAACCCTCCAGGAAAAAGCTGGAGAAAAGTGAAGGGGTAGCAGATCAATAGATCAATGGCAGTAAATGACTGACTAGGGGAATGAAAATGAGTAAAATAACCAGAATTGAAGAGAAAAAGGTCGTGATCCAAGAGCATACACTCTGCAGAACAACCACTCTCATCAATATCAGCACCACCTCAGAGGGGATTGTGTCCATTAAAGTCTACCAGGAGTAAAAAGGGAGACAGCAACTGTTCAACAAGAGCATCAAGGTCTGATTGATCATAAGTCTCTCTAGGAGACAAGTAGAGAGAACAAACAGTGATGGTACAACCCAAGGAAACACGGATAGCTACGGCCTCCAAGGGTGTATCAAGTGACAAAGACAAGGTGGGAACAAGCTTGTCGAGCAGCAGTACAACCCCTCCATGCACTCGTCCATCACACAACCTGTCATTCTGGTATAAAGAAAACTGCCAAAAGATGACTGTATTGGCTGGTTTTAGGAATGTTTCTTGTAAAGAAAGACATATGGAATGATAGGAATTGCTCAAGGCCTTAATGTCATCAAGATTAGAACAAAACCCCGACAGTTCCACTGTATCAAAGTGTCCATTTTTATGTGGGTGGAGGAAAGCTGAGTGGGAAAACTCTTCTGTTTATGACCATGCCACTTTTCTTTATTAAAAGGAGGTCTACCTATTTCCATGGATCCTGCCCTTGGTCTAGTGGGCAGATCTCTGTCATTGGAGTTAGATTCCAGCAACTGAAGGCATAAATGATTGTTCTGCATATTGGTGGACCCAAGCATACACCAGAGGCCAGGGAAATAGGAGGTGGACCCAGGCAGTCAATGGAAGGAATGGTGTGGACACAGACAGGAGTAGATGTGGACTTGTCACCTCGAACATCCATTGAGGTCAAAAGACTCTTCACATGATGTGAAAACGACTCTGACAGTCTGCAGGTCGCGGGTTCGAATCCCCATTCCACCAAACATGCTCGCCCTTTCAGCCGTGGTGGCGTTATAATGTGATGGTCAATCCCATTATTCGTTGGTAAAAGAGTAGCCCAAGCGTTGGCAGTGGGTGGTGATGACTAGTTGCCTTCCCTCTATTTATACACTGCTAAATTAGGGATGGCTAGCGCAGATAGTCCTCGTGTAACTTTGTGCGAAATTCAAAACAAACAAACAACCTGTCTTGAAAGCAGCAGGTGGACGTGGCGATGTAAACGTCCAAATGAGAACATTGGTAGGCAGCATATATCCGTCTTTACGAGTGGAGATATGTCACACTGCAGAAACTCCTTGGCTGGAGAAACCAGCGAGAATCTCCAACTCGGGGATGTTCTTCAAATCCCTCTCAACAATAACTCCCCGTGAGGAATTCAAAGTTGCATGGGGGTAACCTCAATGGGTATATCCCCAATGGCCTTCGAATTCAAGAGGAGTTCACTGTGTTTTGGTGTAGATGTTTCCCCCAAGATCTCTCCAGAATGTAGATTCTTTAATCCTCTAATCTCTTCTAAATGAAAATGGGGACATTTGCCCTAAAGGTTTATCTGACAACGAATGCAATATTAGAAAACGAGGTACAGGAGCAGGATGAGGTGAAAATTGATTATCAGTCTTCAAGGCATAGTCGTTTATCAATGAGCAGAGTTTTTACTATTGTATTTTTATTTGGATTTGGGGATCCATAAGAAAAGGAGAAATATACAAGTTTTCAATAAAACAAATATTTTCAATTTTAAAGTTATAAACTTTTCATTTCCATGTACAAATATTAAAAGAAATGTTATATTACAACGTTTACTATGCACAGCCTATTAGATCCATTACAATTTGTTCAACCAAACAAGATTTAATGGACAAACAAAAGGCTTATACTAAATTTTGCGAGTAATTCAATAATTGTCATACTGCCAGTAGCCTCCCAGTGGCACAGCGGTATGTCTGCTGACTTACAACGCTAGAAACCGGGTTTTGATACCCGTGGTGGGTGGAGCACATATTGCCCATTGTGTAGCTTTGTGCTTAATTACAACCAAATACTGCCAGTTATGGTCTTCATCGTTTTACCAAAAATCATAACTTTTTCAAAACTACATATAAAATTTTAAGCTAATATTTCAAGGCAATAAAGAACCATCATAATGTTGCGACATCATTGGTCTTACCTCTTGTTATGCTAAGTTTTTATTATAGTTTATGGCATAACATTACATCATTGGTTAAGTTGAGTTAGTTTCACCTAATTACTTTCTCGTATTCACCATTTTGTTGCTTCCTTTTCTAAATCTTTATCTTATTATAAGTGCGACATTTAGTGAATCTCATCTCGAGGAACATAATATGTATATTCTATATTGTTCAAAGAAGTTGATTAAATTCCTTTCGCTCAAGTTACCTGTTGTTCTGGATCAGTGCACGTTACTGCTACATAAAACTGACATTGTAAAAGTGGATAGTAATTTTTTACAACTAGTAAATCAGGTGATAGTTGGGGGTGGCAATATTTCACAGTTATTTTATAATAGAATGACAAGCAGTGACGTGAGTTTTGCACGTGCTCTGCGAGTGAAGACGCTGTTCTTATAGTCACAGATAGTGTGTAACTTTTTCAATTTTAGTTGGTTTAAGGGAAGTTAGTGTTTATTTATTTTGAAGTAACAGTAGTAATTTAGTTATACCCTATCCTTTCTTTAAGATTACTTTCGTTAACAGTATCGTTTATTATATTTATTAAATCAAAGTGTGGTAGTCCATATTTATTCCCAAGCCTAAACAAGTAATAATTTTACTATCACGAGGACACACAGTCTTGGTTAGAATACTTATATATATTTATTCTGAGGATGGCGTTGTAACGTCGAAACATGTAGAGTCGTCAACTTTTTGAAGGCCATAAATAGGCCTAAATAAAATGTTTTTTAACTGTGTACCAGTTTAACGTTGTGTATAAAGTTAAAGTCATAAATAATATTCAAGTGCCAAAATACTATAATTACTTTATATATACTTTTATTTTTTTGTTATTTCTCATTTATACGTATGTGGCTTTTAATGTCATTTTATGTTTATTTTATTACAATGATTATTATGTACTGTTAGGTTGGTCATTAATCCATGTACTAAGCTAAGCCTCCCGAGCTGGCAGTTCATAAGTTGTTGCCTCCCAGTGGCACAGTGGTATGTCTGCGGACTTCCAACGCTAGAAACCGGGTTTCGATACCCGTGGTGGGCAGAGCACAGAAAGTTCATTGTGGAGCTTTGTGCTTAACTTCGAACAAACAATCATAAGTTGTTATTGGGTTTATGGCCGAAAGTGCTGTTAACAACAAGGATACCCAACTAATGAGGGATATCTGCGTTAGCCGTCCCTAATTTAGCAGTGTAAGACTAGAGGGAAGGCAGCTAGTCATCACCACCCACCGCCAACTCTTGGGCTACTCTTATCAACGAATAGTGGGATTGACCATCACATTATAACGCCCCCACGGCTGAAAGGGCGAGCATGTTTGGTGTGACGGGGATTCGAACCCGCAGATTGCAAGTCGAATGCACTGGCCATGTCGGGCCTTGTAGGTAAACACTAAGCTACACAATGGGCTATCTGTAGTCTGACACTACGGGCATCGAAACCCGGTTTCTAGCGCTGTATGTACGCAGAAATACCGCTGTTCCACTGGAGGAGCCCAACTGATGAAACAATACATTATAATCATTATAAGTGATATGATACGAGTATCGTATGTAATTGGATATGCTTATCACTAGGTATGCGTTTTTAGTTCTGATCTACGTAGGTGCCTCGTTTTTACCAGAAGTTAATGTAATAGCTCAATGAAGTAGAACATTAAATCCAGTATTGGAAGTCAGAAGAAATGTTTTCTGTTTTGAATGTATGATTTTTTTTTATTAATTGTACATCTCGTGCACTCAATGACGTACTAACTAAATGACATTTGAATCTTAAATCTTGTCTTTGAAGTCAGAAGAACCATTCTTTGATTGGATGTTGTTGTTTTTCTGTTATACGCCTAAAATGTGTAGTGTTGAAGCAGTAATTAACGGTAGTTGAGCAGCCTTCAGGTCAGAAGAAAGGTTTTTATTCGGAATACATGACTTTCTGCCACAGCTTACATATTTGACTGATTCAGTACACAGATTTCGGAAGTTTCAGGAGTACAACATTGTGAAAACAGGACCTCGGCTGTATATTGTAGTAACTTAAAAACACCGAGTCGGTTTTCGTCTCTGATATTTTGAAACAAATCTTAATTGAAAAGATCTCTTCAACATACAAAACTAAGTGACTAACAGGAAGTATTTGAAATAATTGGTTGCGATACTAATACCAAGAATGTAATGGATTCTAAACGTACAGTTTTCAAGTTATGCGGGTAGTTGAATTTTCTGAATCTCACGAACTTAACTTGTGGAAACTGTTTCTGGTTAATTAGTTAACTTAGTATATGCCGAACAGCCGAGACAGATGAGAAGGAGAAGAAGGTTTTAAAAAGGGTGAAGCCTTAGTTCATGAAGCCAGTGCTAACAAGCTTGTCCAAAAACAACTTGACATCAGCTAGCTCCGAATCTCTGAAGCCTAGAGCTCTGAGCATGCTCAAATCTCCAGTCTCTACAGCCATGAAGACGTGCCTCAGATGCTCTAAGTCTGATCTCATCAAATTTAGAATCTTGCCAAAATCTTCTATAGTGTCAGACTCTGAAAAAAATATACATCGATAAACGTTTATTAATAATCGGTTTATTTCTTATATATATAAGAATCGCTCTGAAATAAAAGTGTGTGTGTGTGTGTGTGTGTGTGTGTGTGTGTGTGTAGTGTGTGTGTGTGTGTGTGTGTGTGTGTGTGTGTGTGTGTGTGTGTGTGTGTGTGTGTGTGTGTGTGTGTGTGTGTG